GCCATTTGCCCCACCCTACCCACTCTCACTCCCCTGCTTCTCATCTAGGAAAGCAACTCTGCCCAATCCTACCCAACCTCGCATCCCCTACTTCCACAAAAATGAGCGAGCAAACAAACAAACAATGTCTTACCATATTCCCTCCCTTCCCTATCTGCTCTCCCTCCCTTGCCTCATATTCAGGTCAGTTCACTTCCCTCTTATTGTCCCTCCCAAGTCAATACCTTCATCTCTCACAGAGGAGTATGGCTGTCCCACCACAACCCCACCTCTCACCCAACCAGTCCCTCTCTCCACCCCTAATATCCTTTTCAAGCCTGTGCCTCCCTCTCTCACAGGAGGATGATGCTTGTCCCCAAAACCCACTCATTCCCCTGAAACACTTAATTCTATTTAAACAATTACACTAAGCAATACAATTACCTCCCCCACCCACAATCCATCCCTACCAAAGAGCAACATCAAAGGGTGTCCTTGAACATCACCTTTGGGTGGTGCTGCTCTAGGATAGCCTGAAGTACCTGTAAAGCAGGGGTGCCCAACCTTTTTTGAATGTGGGGCCAGATCATGAACTTTTTATCACCCAGTGGGCCGACAGGAGTGGACACTCATGCGGCCTGTCTAGTCCGGCTGCAGCCTGGGAGTGCAGGTGTCAAGGGGTACCGCCTGACCCCGCTGTGTCCTCCCTGCCACCTGGGCGGCCTCAAGGATGCTCCCACACCTGCGCACCTGGCCTCAGCAGCCAGGGGGACATGTGGGGACTCTACAGGGGGGTGGAGGATGTGCAGGGACACCCCGCCTGCTCCCTCTCCCCCGGGGCAGCCTGAGCCCGAGCCCAAGCGGCAGGGGTCCCTCCCTCCCCAGGGCCATGACTTGCCACCCCCGGCACAATGTCTGTGGGTGTGGGGGGATGCGGGGAGGTGGGAGTGGTGCCAGATTCCTGCCCCGACAGCCACAGCAGCAGCGGCAGCAGCATCTCCCGCAGGCCCAGCTGCAGCATCCCTCCGAGCCGGTATCTGCGCCCCCTGTACCCACCCGCCTGCTGTGCTGCGACCTGCTCCAGCCCACGCAGCTGGCAGGGACTGGTGCAGGGTGGGGTCAGCATGCAAATGAGGGAGGGAGGGACGGGGTTAGGAACGGAAACCCTGCAATGTGGGGAGCTGGCATGCAAATGTGGGAGGGGTGGGGCGAGGAAGGGACACCATGAAGCAAAGGGGGAGGGGAGGAACTGCACTGCGTCAGCAACATCAAGCTGATGCGGTGTGTGTGGGAACCTTGTCCCTTCCCAAGCCCTTCAGCAGCCATTAGGAAGCTGCTGAGGGGCTGGGGGAAGGACAAGGGGTGGGAACGAAAGTAAACAGCGTTTACTTTAATTTCCCTTCGCAGCACCGCGGGCCACAGAAAATGGCTTGGTGGGCCGCATGGTGGCCCATGGGCCATATGTTGGACAAGCCTGCTAAAGCCTAGAGACTGGTTGCATCTTTTCCCTTTACAGCTTAGGTGGCTGTGCAGCAACTGCACTGAGTCCTGGCCCTCCACTGCTCTGGTTTTGGTCACCAGTCTGCAGGCTTCGTAGGGACTCCTCTTTCTGCTCCCTGCAGCACATGACTGCGGGTTTTGGTGCTGGGGGACGGCACATGGCTGTGGGGTGCTGCGTGAGGGGTGTGCATGCGGGATGTGTCCCGCAGCCGTGAGCTGTATTTGGCGGGCGCTGCCCGCGCCTCCTTGCCCCCTGCCCTTGCGGCACCCTGTGGCCCCTCCCTGCCCTCAAAGCCCCCCCCACATGGTTGCATGCCTTGCCATGTCCTCCCCACACGTGGAGCCCCCACCAGCTGTGGCTGTGGGATGTGCAGGTTGAGGGCGGCGTGGCCGCAGGTTGCTGTGAGGGCAGCAGGTGCAGGCAGCGCCTGGCAGCTGTAGCCATGGCTGCGGAGTGGGGCGTGCCCCCCATGCCCACTCCCGGTGGGGCACCCTGCCCCCTCCCCCCCGTGCGCACCATCTGCCACACTGCAGGGCCAGGCCATGTGCCACCTGGTTGCAGCAGGCAGGTGCTCCCTGCACCTTGGCCGCTCCCTGTGCCATGCGCCCCCCCGCCACACATCCACGCAGCACATCCCCCTGTGCATTCTGTGCCACACCCTAGGGCCAAGCCCCATGTTTCACGGCTGCAGCCGGTGGACGTCCCCCCGCCATGGTCGCTCCCCATGCCAAGTCCTGCGCGGCCACACTGGCCTGCATGCCACGCCCCCCTCGTGCTCTGCACCACACCCCGGGGCCAGCCCCTGTGCCACATCACCGCAGCCGGCAGGCACTCCCAATGCCACGCCCCACAGCCACTGACATCTCCCCTCCCAGCCTCATACCATGCCTCCCTGCATGTCCTGCATCACACCCTGGGGCTGCTCCCTACACCAGGTAGCTACAACCAGCAGGTACTCCCCACCTCAAGGCCACCCCCTGTGTAGCTGTGTGCCACACATCCCTGTGCACCCTGCGCAACACCCTGGGGCCACTGCCAAAGCCACGCTCAACCCCACGACCGCACACCACCATCCCCACACAGCTGCGTGCTCTATCCCTCACATGTGCCCTGCACCACACCCCAGGGCCACTCCCCATGCCACGAAGCGTAGAGCACTCCCTGCACTGTGGCCGCTCCCCATGCCACACCACACGGCTACTCGCTACTCCACCCCCATGTATCGTTGCGCGCAGAGCAGTGGGGAGCAGGGCTGGACACAGAGTGGCGGTGGCAGGGGGGGAGCAGGGCAGGACCCAGAGCAGCAGCAGGGGGGTGGGGGAGTGGGTCAAGACCCGGAGCAACGATGGGACAGCGGGGGGAGGGCACAGGGCCAGATGCTGTTCTGCGTCCTTGCCTTCCTCCCGCCCTCCCCTGCTCCCCGTCATTCATGATGGGCATTTTGCTAGTAATAATAGTAGCATTCTGAGGTTTGGATATGTCAGAAATATCTGATCTGATCTATTCCTTATCCTTGTGCTCGGTCTTGTGCTTCATTAAGTTAGACTCCCCCTAACCTTACCTAATTCAAAATCTGTTAACAGCTAATCAAGTTTGTATAGAAGTCCCCTTGTCATTTCACGCATTACAACATAAGCTAGAAAGTTCCAATGAAAAGATCTAAATTCTTGAGATAAACTGATGTTCACTGTGATAGTTATGTTTGCACAGCTTTGATATGGGCAGGAGACCTGACACTGTCTGGGATTATCTTTGATGCATGTGATTCTCTGCATGCAGGTGAAAAAGATAAAGTTCAGTGCTTTGCCTGTGGAGGATGTTTGGGGAACTGGGAAGAAGGTGATGATCCTTGGAAAGAACATGCCAAATGGTTTCCTGAGTAAGTGACTGATTATCCTTGAGAAATTTCTTCAAGCACAATGAAAGCTGACCTGCATTCAGACTGGGACCCTATGCACTGGGATCAGGCCCTGGCGGTTCACTCCAGCCTTGCTCTGATACATGTGCCATGATTGGGCCCTGGGGACTGGCACACCACCCCTGTCATAGAATCATAGAAAGTTAGGGTTGGAAGGGACCTTAGGAAGTCATCTAGTCCAGCCCCCTGCTCCAAGTAGGACCAGCCCCAACTAGACCATCCCAGCCAAAGCTTTGTCTAGCTGGGTTTTGAAAAGCTCCAAGGATGGACATTCCACCACCTCTCTGGGTAACCTGTTCCAGTGTTTTACTACCCTCTTATTGAGAAAATTCTTCCCCGTATCTAACCTAAACTTCCCTTGCTGCAACGTGAGACCATTGCTCCTTGTTCTGCCATCTGCCACCACAGAATAGCTTAGCTCCATCCTTTCAAACCCCCTTTCAGGTAGTTAAAGACTGCTATTAAATCACCTCTCAGTCTCCTCTTCTCTAGACTAAATAAACCCAGTTCCCCCAGTCTTTTCTCATAAGTCATGTCCCCCAACCCCCTCACCATTTTTGTCGCCCTCTGCTGGACTCTCTCCAATTTGTCCACATCCTGTCTGTAGCAGGGGGCCCAAAACTGGACATAGTACTCCAGATGTGGCTTCACCAGTGTCCCATTCCATGTGTCAGGATCAGGCCCTCTGTTGCCCTGCATGCCTGAGCCAGTGTACGCATGGGTACAAAAATTTAGCAGTAGGATAGAGGTTCCACCACTCTCCTACCATCAAGTTTTCGGACCTGGGGGGTGCCCCACAGGCCAGATGACACTGGTGGTTGGATCTGGGCTTTGGAGCTGGGGGTTGAGCACCTCTTGGACTAAGCTATAAGCTAAAACTGGTAAATAGTTCCCCTTAATAATCATTTGGTTGTTTGAGTGATGTTGACAGCACCATACAGCTAGTGTCCATTTACTGTCTGTTTCTGAAATGAAAAAATAACACTGAATTATCTTTTAGTAAGTGAAATCTTAACCAGAAATAAAAGAAAAAAAATCCCTCCCAAGAATGCCACAGCATTTAGTAATTTGATTTACCTTGTTGTTTTGTAGGTGTGAATTCCTTCGCCATAAGAAATCCAGTGATGAAATTAAAGAATACCTTCATAGCTACTGTGGATTTGTAGGAGTGGTGGTAATTTTCAACAGCCATGTTATTTTTCTCTCATTGTTTCATGTACCATAGTCAGAATATTAAGATGGACAAACCGGACCCTGATCCTGCCAAGCTAATTCACGTGGTTAACATGAGCGAGTAGAAGAAAATCTGTTGACTTAAGGGATTTCCTGCGTGAGCAGTGTACAGGTTTTGCAGGGTTGCCACCTGAGTGCTACAGAGTCCTGTTACCATCTGAGGAGTCTTGAGCACACTTCCTGGGACATCAGAGGTTGAGATCCCTTCAGATATGGTTAGAAGTAGCTGAGGAAATGCTTAATGGTGCTGTTACTTGTTTTTTTATTTAACCAGACAATCTTGAATGTGATACAGATCACTGCACGGCAGACAAGGTTCCTTGGGTGAATTTGATATCTTTTATTAGACCAACCCAAATAGTTGGAGAATAGTTATTAAGCAAGCTTTCGGGTTCAAAAACCCTTCGTCAGGCTAAGGAGGGGCCAGCAGTTGGTGCGTGCTCTTCCTGGATGGAATGACAAGTAAAGAAGCCAGAGGATGGGCTGGGGAGTCAGTTGCCAGGCAGATTATAATGTATCAAAAATCCAATGTCTATGTTTAGTCCATGATCTCTAGTATCCAGGAGGTTGATGAAATGGAGCTCATAGGCTCGTCTCTGGGAAGTGTTGTGTAAGTTTCCCTTGAGGATCAGGACTGAGAGATTGGAGAGAGAGTGGCCCTCCTGTGAGAAATGTGCCCCCACCGGTAATTGAGTGTTTCTGTCTTTGATAGATTTCCAGTGTGTGTTCATTCTGGTGCGCAGTTGTTGTTTGGTCTCTCCTACATATTTTCCATCAGGGCATTAGGTGCATTGGATGAGGTATATTACATTTCTGGAGGTGCAGCTGTAAATGCCCTGATGGAAAATATGTAGGAGAGACCAAACAAACCCTGGGAGCATCTGCCCCGGGGGCACTGGGAAAGTGCAGGCAGCTACAGCTGCCCAACATCCTATCATAAACTAAATGGCTGTCTACTGCAATAAAGTGGCATGGTTTACTAACTTTTCTCATGGCCATGTTGCAGTACAACAACAGATATGGATTTATTTTTGCTGTCCCCTTGTGCCATCATAAAGATGAAATGCAATGTTTGTTTCCCCCCTAAGATATGCTCCTATCTGAGAAGAGTCTCGGGGAGGGGGTACCCAATCCCATCTCTGGCTGTAGCTATAGACACTTTTTGAGTGTCTAGGTGGTCCTTTTTCAGTTCTTTTCAAAAGTGAAAGCATATTTAATCAGTTGATATTTGGAGGTTCTACCAGCCCTCTCACCCGGTACTATTAGTCCCAGACCCATTCTGTGCATGTGTTTATTTCTTTTGTTTTGCTAACCTATCATGTTGGCCTGCAGATATAACTAAATAGAAGACAATGTTAACTTTGAATTTTCATTCTGCTTAGGGAAAGCATTTCACAACTCCTTCAATAAAGAGGATATTACCTACAGAAACAGGTACACAATGAGAATGAATTCTACTGTAATCCTGAACGTGTTCTCTGTTTTTCTTGTTGAGCAGGGTTAACAATGAAAGCGGCCCCAAGTTTACTTTCTTGTGGAGAAAAGCCTGTAAATATGAAAGATTCTGGATTTTAGCTTTTTGCAAAGTTCTAGGGCTGTTGGGCAGTCTGATCAGGAGTGAAAGCAGTGTTCTCTGCAGAAAGTAAATGGATGATAGCCTTGCTCTGTCTGACTCACATTTGCCTTTGTCAGAGAAAGAGAGAGGGAGAAACTCAAACTGGGAACTTGAAAATGAGATGAAAGTGATTGCTGCTCGAGGGAAGAAGTTAACTGGTCTAGAGCAGGGCTGTACAAGGGGCAGCTTGTGGGCTGCAAGTGGCCTACAAGCAGTTCAGATGCAGCCTCTGGACCTCTACTTTACTTTCCCCCTATTGGCACTGTTCCCCCTATTGCTCTGGCTGCTGCTGGAGATGGGGTCTCTAGCCTCCCTCTCCCTCTCTCAGCTTTTGCTTCCTGCTTCTGCCCTAGGGAGCAGGGTACTGCAACTCACAGCACTCGGGGAGCCCACAGCAAGTAGCAGTGAGGAAGCTGAGATGAGAGCCACCCACATGTGGTGTGTTTGTACTTTGGGGAAAGGCTTTGTCCACCTATGAGGTACAACAGCCACCCAGTGGCAGGGTGCCACCTATGTGCATGATACAACACTGGGTATATCGGTTTGGGGGGGGTGAGGGGAGGGAGGAAGAAGGAGAGGCCTGCCCCCGGCCACTTAGCAGCTGGACAGCCCTGATGTAGAATTCTCAGTAAGATTTTGTATTGTTGCTTTTCTGGGAGCCCAGTGGGTGGGAGACTGATTCTACCCATATCTTATGGGTGTTGACAGCACAGGAGTTCTCTCAAATGATGGAATGTCTTGTATTGCAAAGGTGCATTTCCAACATCTTTGAGGATGAAGGAGCTCAACTGGATCATTTTAAAACTTGGCCACAAGAAGCACCAGTTGATGCCACCACACTTGCCAAAGCAGGATTTTTCTACACAGGTTCAGTAAAAGGCTAACTTGAGAGAGACAAGAAGTAGGGAAGAAATGAGGCTGTTGTAGAGATGAAAGGTGAATGTTGAGGTATGGCTGAAAACCTGAATGAATATTCTGTCTTGTTTCCAGTGTGGTTGATCATGTCAAACATGGGGGCAAAGGCATGATGGGTAATGGTAATGAGAGTCTGAGCATATTAATTGCCACAGTTCTAAGTGGAAGCAAAAGTGAATAGTCAGAAACATGGTGTCTATATTGAAGACAGGGGAGAAGAAATGGATCAGGGTTACTTCAGACCAGGCTGTTTGACCTCAGGGGTGCAAAAGGCCTAAGGATGAATTTAAGGAGTGGAGGGAAATAAAACGGGTCAAAGGAGACCATGCCAGGCAAAATGGCTACCTGTCTTTGATAGGAGAACTGCTTTTTAGCCAAGGGAATGATGTATCTGGACAATTTGTCATGGTCCCACAGAGAAAATTATAAATTGAAAAAGAGAGTATGGGGATTAACTCAAGAATTGTTAGGTGACATAGGAACCAGCTAAGGGGGAGACAATACCTGGTTGTAAAGAAGAGAAAGCTATTGGTCTAAAATAAGTTGACCAGTGGCGTTCCTTATGGATTGCTCTTGGAACCAATTTATCTATCGTTTTCATGAATAAACTCGATGCACAAAATTGGATTGTGTTAATGATATTTGTTAATAGCACAAAATGATGACACACTGTCAATATAGATGAGGCCTGGAATAGCATATGAAAGGGACTAGGTGTCATTGAGGACCAGAGTGAGGCCCAAAACTGAACACAGTACTCAAGATGCGGCCTCACCAGTGCTGAATAGAGGGGAAGAATCACTTCCCTTTCCCTGCTGGCAACACTCATACCAGTGCAGCCCAGTATGCTGTTAGCCTTCTTGGCAACAAGGGTACACTGCTGACTCATATCCAGCTTATTGTCCAGTGTAACCCCCAGGTCCTTTTCTGCAGAGTCCCCCCCGGTTCTTTTTGCGCGGACCTCCTCCTCCCCCAGCCAGTCCCCAGGCTGTAATGGTGTATGGGATTCTTCCGTCCTATGCAGGACTTTGCACTTGTCCTTATTGAACTTCTTGAGATTTCTTTTGGTCCAATCCTTCAATTTGTTGAGGTCTCTCTGAATCCTAGCCCTACCCTCCAGCCTATCTACTACTTATCCACCTTGGTGTCATCTGCAAACTTGCTGGAGGTGCACCCCATCCCATCTTTTAGATCATTAATCACAATATTGAACAAAACCGGCCCCAGAGCCAACCCCCAGGGCACTCCACTTGATACTGACTGCCAACTAGACACCGAGCCATTGATTACTACCCTCTGAGCCTGATGATCCAGCCAGTTTTCTATCCACCTTACTGTCCATTTCTTCAGCCCAGACTTCCTTAGCTTGCTTGTGGAAGACGGTATCAAAAACCTTGCTAAAATCAAGATGTATCGCATCCACAGCCAGTCATCTTATCATAGAAGGCAATCAGGTTGGTCAGGCATGACTTGCCCTTGGTTAATCCATGGTGACTGTTCCTAATCACCTTCTCCTCCAACTGCTTAAAAATTCCTTAAGGAGCTGCTCCATGATTTTTCCAGGGACTGAGATGAGGCTGACCAGTCTGTAGTTCCCCAGATCTCCCTTCTTCCCATTCTTAAAGATGGTTACTATATTTGCCCTTTTCCAATCATCTGGGACCTCTCCCCATTGCCTCAAGTTTTCAATGATAAAGGCCAGTGGCTCTGCAATCGTGCCAGCTGAGTCCCTCAGCACCCTTGGGTGCATTGCATCCTGCCCCATGGACTTGTACATATCCAGCTTTTCTAAATAGTCCCTAAACTGTTCTTTGGCCACTGTTAGCTGCTGACCTCCTCCCCAGACTGCGCAGCCAGGTGCAGTTGTCTGGGAGCTGACCTTGCCTGTCAAGTTCCTATATTGTTCCTGGCTTGCTGGTAGTTACAGAAATTAGAACATGTTGGCCCCACGGGATGAATGAGTGGTGCCAGGCTGGTCTGTGCGGTGCATGCATGGAGCTGGGGTCTAATTTGGTATGCACAGGACGAGGCCTTTGTTTCATAGGCCGTATATATCATGTCCATGGTGCAGACTCTGAGTGCCAGATCAGGCCTTGTCCCTGTGCATGATGAATCGGGCTCTTTGCCACAGCTCCAGTACCAATCCCACATGTGCTGGATCACACTAGGCCTGCTGCTCCATCCCCAGCCCTAGCTTGGGCCCACCACCCCAGCCCTCGCCCTGCATGTGCCAGCCAGACTCCATGCATGGGACCACATCATCTGGCCTGTGAGGCTTGGAAATGTGGTGGTGGTAGGGGAGCAGTCGCAGTTTTAATTGCCACCTTACCCCAGTGCTGCCCAGGGGATGACACAGCTGACAGAAGGAGCCATCTGAAGGCAGACTATGGGCAATTAGCAGCAAATCAACACAGCAGCTGGGAGGTGGGAAAAACTTGTAGAACTGGTAAGTCTACTAAAGAATTTCCAGTCGGCTTGCGGGGGGGAATGCCTGCACAATGACTGAAACAAAAAAAATATTAATATGATGCCTCTCACTTTGGACCTGGAAAGTCTTTGGGACCTAGCCTGTTTGGACCTGGGTAGTCCTGTGAGTGGACAGGTGGCATTTGCTCTGAAGGGCAAAGGAAAGTGTTCCATGGTCCCCCCTTTAGGTGCCCAAGCGGTTCTTAATTTCCTGATGGAACCAGGGCAGATTATGTGGTGACAGTGACAGTGCTGCCATCAGTAACCACACCCCTTGGGGAGACATGGGCAGCAAGGCACAGGTGGGCACCCATGCCTGGGCCATGGGGGGTGGAGGGATGACTGTACAGGTGACTGCGGTTTGGCATGGGGCTCCCTGCAGGCAGCTATGGCTTCCTGGGGTCGGGGAGGGTGAATTACTGGTTTGCTGGTGCCCCCTGCTGTAATTGAGTACCAAAGAAATCAGCAGGGTGGATTGTTGTGCAGCTCCCCCTGCTGTAATTTACTGTGAATTGTACACTGAGCTTAATTTGATTTGAAGGCTGTCACCCATAAACAATGACATATCGAATTGAAACAAATAACGTCAATTTTAATAAGCCTATTTAATTTAGTGAAGATTAAACAGTGTCATGTATACAAGTGCCTCAAATTTCCAGACTTTTGGGAAGATCCACAAGCAATCACATGGCTCTCCGTACTGGATCCAGGCTTGACTACCCTTGAATTAGAATATACTAGCTGCTGCCCTTTTGAAATGGCTACAAAGGTACATGTGTCCATATCCTTGGAATAACATGTCTAGATCCTGACATCTATCTTTTCCCATGCACATTTCCTTAATTGGAAGCCAGAAAGAAAGAGGTGTTCAGTCACTATAATGCTGGATCAAAAATAATGCTGGATAAAAAAATACAAATATTTTGTAATCTGCTTTGAATACTCAATCATCTTGTGGAAACATAACACACAACCTTTTTATTCTTTTTAGTAAAAGATGTATTAATCAGAACATGCAGAAACATTCATGATCCCCTTTTGTGACATGTTATTCCCTGTATGTAGGTGAAGGGGATGTTCAATGTTTTGCCTGTGCTGGATGTTTGGAGAATTGGGAGGAAGGTGATGATCCCTGGAAAGAACACAAAAAATGGTTACCTGAGTGAGTAACTGGGTGCCCTTGAGAAATTCTTCTTAGTGTCAAAGAAGGTTGACCTGCATTTCTTTAAAAAAGACTATTGAACAAAACAGGTTTTATATTAAGAATTGATCATTAAATAGCTCATTCTGAAAACAGCAATCTAGACCTCAAATTAGTTGCATGGTGTTGTTCACATACCTTTTTCACACATGAATATTTGCAAAACAAACTTTAGTGACTCCCCACAGAGAATAGATTTTGGGTACTGCAGATCTTCATTAATGTGTTTAGTCCCTTTGCAATGCATACTGACATGCATACCTGCATGTGAGGAAGAATATGTGCTGTTTGTGCTTGGTCTGTGTGGAACTAGTTCTGGGACAGCCTGACTCATCATGAGTCACTCTAATAGCACAAACGGTCCCTTTAAAATCAGTAGGATTATATGCATAGGGAGATACTATTCAGTATTGGCAGAGATGGTATGATTGAATGTGCAGAGTTGAGGGATTTAGGGATAAACCAGTGTGTCCATTGCCTATGACAGCAAAGCCTTTCTGGTCATGGAGAGGTCTTGCTAAACTTTGGATGGATCAGCTTACTGCCTTGCTTGATTGGAAGTGGTGGGGGGAGTCATGCAGATGTGGGGACAAGGAGTAAAGCTAGCAGAAATACTGCTGGATCCTTTCCTTAGGAGCGTAGAGAATGAGTTCTGAAAAGCTTCCAAACATACTGTTGGAGTGATGTTGTAGTCCCGATGGTCCATGAAATATGCTTTAAGCAAGAATTTTTTGGGTAATGTATTTCATTGGGCCAGAGCATGGTTGGGATAGATTTAGACAAGTTTGTCTAATCTTAGAAAAATAAATCAATCTCAAACACGCAGTTGGTCCAGTAAAAGATACCGCCCACAAAAATCCTTGCCTCGTCCAAATGTATGGTTGATTCTGCCTTTTTTTGTATGTGCTACTAACTGAAAAAGAACAGCCAAGTAAGCAAGTTAAAGAACATTGCATCAGGTTTAATGTTGTATGTTTGAACATTTAATTTTAGTTGCAAATGCTTGGAGCTACTCAATGAGATGACAGTAGATCCACCAAAGAATCAGTCAGCATTACATTCTGAGCAGGTAATCAATTGGTCTTATTCTTTACTGTTGGCTGGAGAATTCATGCTTTGCTATGTAGAAATGGATGTTCTGGTCAGAGTAAATCGCTGTGTATATGGTATGCAAAAATGACTTTAACCTGAGCCCTGTACTAATGCTTTGTCTTTGTCCACTGAACCACTGTGAATTTCTGATTGGGGGAAGTAAAAGCCTTGAGAGAGGTTCTCCTTTTTCAATTTAGATGGTTATCTGTACCATGTTAGAAAATGGCATGTATCTTTAAGGATCTACTTGTGTATGCAGTGAACTTCCTTCCTTTTCTTGTCCTTATCCTTGTCCTTGTGACAAGGTATTTAGCAGAATTTGCCAATTTGTTGGAATCTGACATGGCTGCACCATGAACTGAGAGAGGCTTTTAGGAGTGGCAGTGGTAAGACTACTTTCAGAATACTGTGTCACCAGTGTTCAGAAAAGATGAACATGAACTTATCATAGCACAAGTACTAAGAAGATTAGGGAATGAAAAACGTATTTTATGAAAGAAGAATAAAGGAATTTGGCTTGTTTAGATTGGCAAAATGAGGATAAAGAGGGAAGAGCATTACTTTTTAATAATATACTTGCAGGATAAATATTAGGGGTGGAGAAGAGCATTTTAAGAGGAGTAAAGGATTGGAATAATCTGAACAAAGTAGAGAAGGAAAAGGCATCACTTTAGGGGAGGGGGGAGAAGGAATCTGAATCATTTTAAGATTCAGTTTGATAAGTTTTTATGGCAGGGCTAGTGAGATAGGCTAGAAAATTCTTGGTTCAGCCATCAGTGTGTGTAATATGGATTCAATCATTTGCCATACTCGGGTTGAGCTCTAGAGGTAACTATTTTAAAGTATGATAGCTGTCTGGAAATCTCATGCTTCAGGGCTTTTGTTGATAACCTAAGTAGGAATTTGCTTTTTCTCATTTTTCCTCATAATAGCTGATGGCTATGAAATCATCTTAGCCAATTCCATGAGTAGTCTAGAATGCGCTCCAGATGCAATCTGACCCCGTTGACTTGTTCAAACCCATCACCAAGTTGGAGGTCAGGAAAGAATTCCACCCCCATTCTGCCCCCCGCCCTGCCCCTATCAGATTGGCAAAATTGAGAGGAAAGATTTACCTTCCTCTATAAAGTGATGTGTTGGCCTTTTCCAATGATCTCCTAAGCCTGAAAAAAAAACCCAACCCCCCCCCCCCCCCCCCCCCCGCCAAAAAAAAGCCAAAACAAAAAACCAAAACCGCAAAACAACAAACAAACCAAAAACATTTACTCTTCTGCCCTTGCAGTGGCAGGGCACTGCCAGTGCCATCTGTTTCTCCCCTTTTACTTTTGGCATGTCATAGGGGTTCTTGCAACCTCTGGTTTTGTGCCTTGTAGCTGTGGTATGTCAGGGTTTGATGTAGATGATTTTTAAGAATATAGGGAAATGGTTGCCTGTGAGTAAACTGTGAGTTTACTGCACTTGATGGCCCTTGGACCCTTTCCAGGCCTACCTGCCTATGTTCTTAGTGAAGTCATGTTAAAAAAAGCAGCAACAGATGCATTTTATTTCCATGATATGTTCAGCAGTGGAAGTCTGCTGAGCACACCCTGCCTTTTGTTTAAGAGGTGATAAATGATTAATTTTTTTCTTTTTTCCCCCCAGCAAACTGCAAAGCCAACCTCAGAAGGGAGAAAATGCCAATATTCTGCTTTTACTGGTAAGTACTATTCTGTATCTCTTGTTGGAAGGCTCTTTCCACATTAAACCTTTCTACTGAACTCTTTCTGGTTCAAGGGAACTAAATAGATAAGGTATCTATTTCATTGTCAAATTCTAGACCCCTTTCTTAGACCTAAGGTTCTAATTGAAATAAGGATTCAGGTTGTGCAGAGTAAGCAGCTTGTAGTACCTCAGTCAGCTACTGCCTAATGTAAGGGTTGGCAACCTATGGCCCACAGACCAGATTCAGCCTGTGAATAGACTGGATTCTGCCCCAGGCAGCTATGGGAAACAGTAGCACACTCCATCCACAGTGGTAGAGGCAGCATCTCCAGAGTCCTATCGCTGGCCTTTTTCTGTCCATTTCCTTCCCAATATCTGCTTATTCCTGGAGGGTTGCAGGGTGCAGACTCTGCCAGGGCTGAGTTGCAAGCAGAAGTCCACAGTGACAAAAAGTTGCTAAATCCCTGGCCTAATGTGTAACCTGTGACATAAATGGAGCTGGCAGATGGTAGAGTTCACCTGTTCACAGGAAGCCACGTGAATGCCCAGCAGACAACACCAGTCCTTTTCTGAAAGTGAAGATGTGACTTTAGTGAAGGACGTAGGTGTGGGAATGGGTGAATTTCATTCAGGAGTTCATTCATATTTTGGAAAATACTAGTATATTACCATATTTTGGAAAATACTGGTATATTAGCATTGCATATGCTGCATTTGAAACCCAAAGAGTCTGACTTAAAATAGTTTTCTATCAGGCTTACAGTACCCTTTCCCTTTTTCTACGTAAAATTGTATCAGTCACTGAAATAATTTTGAGGGGGTAGTGTTAGTGATGTGTATGATTAGATCTGTTAGAAATGAAGCTACACAGAAGGAGGTATCATTGAATCATGGCCCAAAGTTCCTGGTCTACAGATATTAGAGTTGTTGTGAGTGAGAGCTGATAAATAAAAAACAGTGTTAGATTTACTGGTTCATTTCAGAGACCTTCTTCAGCAAATATTTGGAAACAAAAATATATGCAGTAACTATGTCTCTGGCTATTTTGAAATTGCACAATTTTGTGTGACTATGTGTTCTGGGTGACTCTGGGAGATCTGTCATTGTCCTTCATGGCATTGCATGTGAATTTCAGAATACAGACAGAAATGTTACACACTTCTCTTCTACCACTGGCAAAAAAAAAATCACTTTTGCTAGATCCTAAGAAGCCTAATAGTTTATAAATGCTAAAAAAGTGGACAAAGGAGTCTTAAATGTGCTTTATCATCCATGATGATACTGCACCACAAATATATATGTAGCTCCCCTCTTTACTGAAAGGAAAGACTTGAATGGTTGCATATGGCTTTTGGAAGTCCTGGTCTGCTCAGTATCCTGTGCATGTAGGTCCCATGGTCTGAAGTTTGTAGTGAAAGGAAACTTTGGCTACTGTCAACTGGTGAACCAAAAACAGAGGTGAAATGAATCAGATTTCATTAGAATGTTTGTTATGGGTAGCTATTACACACCATTAATTTGCGATTTTTTTTGTTTTCTGGTTAAAATTGATTTAATAATTGATTTTTGGTATAGTCGTAGCAAAATGTTCTTATCCTTACTGTGTGAACGACAACACTGTACTTGATATGCTGTGAATGAAGAGTGACCGTAACCTATCTCAACTGTGCACTACTGAACAGGTGAATGTGGATACAAGTTAGGTAGATAAATGAGAAAGGGAAAAAGGCTTCTGACTCCTGAGCAAAATCCTTGCTAAGGTCCTATCTGTGACTGAATGTTCCCAACTGTCTGGCTCTTTGAAACTGCAGAGGGCAATGACAAATATGAATGAACTTAGATAAGGACCCCTCAAGTGACCTTGGTGAGTGTACAAAGAAGAGCAAAAGAGCGATACACACATCCAGCATATGGATAGAAAAAACAGCTCCACAAGCACTGAGCACTGTCCTCAAAACTAAAGGAGAATTTCTAGTTGGTGCCACTAATCATGGGGCTTTTTATTCTGTGCCCATCAATCACAGGAAGGCAGTGGCTTGCACATTAATGAGCCAGTAAATTCACTGGTTAGGAGTGAGTCTGGTAACTGTAGGACATTCCAGCAGCCTCCACAGCATCCTGAATAAGAGAACTAAGCTAGGACTGTCAGTGTAAATAGGATTGGAAATGACTGAAAGGGTTGGTTAGATACAATTAGGTAGGCTGAAAACCTAAACGTAAAGTCCAATACTGGAACCTCTCTTCTGGCTCATTGCATGATCATTTGCTAATAGTTAATTAAGCCAAATTCATCCCTCAAGTGACAGCTTATACCTGTCACTTGAGGGATGAGTGAACCTCCTGTATGTTGCATAGTGATATAGTTGGAAGAAGGAGCATCTGCCTTAGCTTTGCAGCAGTGTCTGAGCAAGGGACTTGTTTGTACAGTAAAGGCACTCTGTGGAGCACTGTAGGTTTCTTTTGTGTGCACTTAATTTTCCTTATCTCCTCTCTATTAACAGACATGACCCTTGAGGATCCTGAATGGGCCCAAGAAGCCAAGGCATTGACTGAACATCTCAGGCAGGCTTACAGTAATACCAGGTTTAGCAGACTGCCTTCCTTTGGTGACTCTACCCATTTTGCCATTGATTTGAAATTGCTCTACGCCGACCTGTCAGTTGTCTCAAAGGATATCTATAACCAGCCACTGCAGCAGCTCCTGCTGCCTGACATCCTTGCAAACCTTAACTCCATCACTGTCCTTGAAGGTGAAGCAGGAGGTGGGAAGACAGCATTGCTGAGGAAGGTAGCTGTGCTGTGGGCTTCAGGCTGCTGCCCCGTGCTAAGCAGGTTCAAGTTGGTCTTTTATCTTTCCCTGAGTGCCACAAAAGGGGATCAGAGCTTGACTGACATCATCTGCAACCAGTTAGTGGGATTTCCAGGGTCGTTAACAGAAATGTCCCTGAGGAACATCCTTCAGCACTTAAAGCACCAGGTCCTGTTCCTTCTGGATGACTACGGCGAGATGAATTCAGTCCCCTTGGTCATCGAAAGACTTGTACAAAAGAACCACTTCAGCAAACACTGCCTGGTTATCGCTGTGCGTACTAATCGGATCAGAGAAATCCGCAAGCATGCAAATACAATTTTAACTATTGTGCAGTTTCCTCTGTACAGCACTCTCTACGTCCTTCGGAAGCTGTTTTCACACAACATTGCCCTTGTGGAAAAGTTCATCTATAAGCTGAAATGGGAAGACACCATGAAGACTCTTCTGAAGACCCCGCTTCTAACTGTGCAAGCTGCAATGTGAAGGCACCATGCAGACTCTTCTGAAGACCCCGCTTCTAACTGTGGCTCTCTGTGCATATTGGATACAGTACCCAGGGGGGAACATCTTCAGTGACAAGGCTATTTTTAAAGCCTACTTGCTGTATAACTCCCTAAAATACTTGGAAGAAGGAGACCATGTTAGTGCCATGGTGTCCTCCTGTGGAGAGCTTGCCTTAAAAGGTCTTTTCAAGCCGTGCTTTGATTTCAGGGAGGAAGACCTCTCTGAAATAGGTCTTGATGGAGATGAAGCTCTGAGATTGGGCCTGCTGAGCAAATTCACTGCCCAAAGGCTGCAGCCAGTTTATCAGTTCTTTCATCCATCATTCCAAGAGTTCCTGGCAGGGCTAAGGATGAGCGAGCTCCTGGCTTCTGATGTTGAAGAAAACCTGGAACGAGGACTGTATTACTTGCAGCAAATCAACACGTTGAGGAAAGTTTCTGGGACCTATCACTTTTTATTGCAGTATGCTTGCAGCTATCCTTCCAAGGCAGTTCCAAAAATCATAACCCATTTATTCAACTTGATCCACTCTAAGGAGGCATTTGAAAGTCAGTCAGAAAGTGATGAACTTCTACGACATCACCCAGAACTACAAATGGTGGTGCAGGCAATAGATGATTTGGAGTCAGAATTTTGTCTTTCATTTTTCACTCGCCTTTTGCTGAACATTGCAATTTCTGCAGCTTATGAAAGTGACACTGTTGCAATGTGTGCCCCAGCCATCTTTGA